AAAATACAATACAAAAATAACAATATAAAATTAAAATTAATAATATAAAATAAATAAAAGATATAAAAGAAGTTATAAAAGAAAAGAAGTAAAGAAAAGAAGTCACCCTGGCCAGTTAAATAAGTAAATATTGTTAACAATTAAAAGAGTAAGGTTCGGGTCAAGTCCAGCTGGAGGTGCACGTGAGCGAGTGCCATCTTGTCCTTGGCTTCAGGCAGCAAAAGTCTTTTGCTGGTCCTCATGCATCCCCATCTCACTGTGTGTGCACTCAGAAATGAATCCCGCTGAGTTTAACGCTTGATGCCATGCAAGTGTACACAGGATTGCAGCTTTGGGGCCAAACAAACTGTAACATAGGAAGCCTGTAAAGAGAATCTACTACCTGCTTTTGTAAATGTTCTCCTACCCCTGATTTGAATCAGACCTTGAATCAGTTTTTCAGTGATGTGCATCCCTAAGATGTGGCCAGGACTTTCTTTTCTTAAGGATAAGAATCTCTGCATGCTGCATGAAGAATTCACAAAATTCTTTGAGTCATTTCCCTGCTTTATTTCTTACCCCAGGCCAAAATTTCCTGCAACATTTCATTCTGCTTTGTTTTCTATTTTTTGCATTCCAGTCACCTAGGATTAGTCGCATGTCTTGTTTTGGTGTGTTATCTTGAACCCTTGCATAAAAGTTTTCAATTTCTTTTTCTTCAGCAACTGTTGTTGGAATATAGACTCGAATGATAGTTATGTTGATAGGTTTTTCACTAATTCTGGTTGATATTTGGTTGATTGGGTTTTGCATTATAGCTTCTTCCTGCCTGTGCTACATCTTGCCTCAGTATTAGAGCCATTCCTTTTCTTCTGAGCTTATCATTTCTGGAGTAAAACACTTTGTCTGACTGAAAATGTCCCATTCTGGTCCACTTTAGTTCACTCACACCAAGTACTGCGATGTTCAATTTTCCATTTCTTGCTTGATGATTTTCAGTTTGCCTTGATTCATGCTTCTCGCATTCCATGTCCTGGTAGTATGTTTTGTGAAGCATTAGACTTTACTTTCACCTCTGTGTGTGATTTTCTTTCAAGAAATTATTAGGATCATTAGTGACAGGACAACTTTTATTCGTCCTTTGCCCTTCCCCCATGGGTCATAAAGTGCCTTCTCCTTTTCTGGCACAATATCTTGTTTCACTTGGGATTGTTTCAGCATGGGATTTATGAAATGAGAGAATTCAGAAGTGCATTACTGCATCTTTCATTTGTGCAGTACGCAAATGAGTTAGCTTGAGCATCACTGCTATTGTCTGTGAAAGAACTTTAAAGTGTCATCTTCACCTATTACTGCTGCCCAGTTGCTGCCTTTTGAAGGTTTCTCTACCCCCTTTTAAAGGTTTTTCTTCATCTCCATTCATGAGATCCATTCTCTTTTTGCTGATATGACCTCCTGAAGAAGGTGGCTCTAACTTGGTCTGGTATCTCAGCCGTGACCATTCTGCCATGGGTGACCCTGCTAGAGACCAGCCTAATGAGCCTATCCTGGCCTCCTGACAGCATTGCTATCAATTTCTTTGACACTCTCAGACCTCCTCACTATGTTAAGGTATGTATGTGTATCAACTATTTAACAATGATAATAAAAATGAATAATATTACATTCAATGTTGCAGAGGAAATCTCAAAAGGGATCTTGCTACTGTTTATCTCGACTGTGCAGTTAAAGTTTACAATGCAAAATTAAACCAACAGCTTGGATGCCATGAGGTGAACATCATTAATATCACAAATATTAACTTGGAAGAAAACTTCTGATACAATCTCTGCTTGGGATTGGAATGTGATCACCTTAAATGAATTCTATCATCTACTAATTATTAATTCTTGCTTCAGGCAGAGAATGACAAGCACGAACAGGCAATGCCCCTATTCTTTGTGCAACGACTCACAGCGACAGACCTCAGGACTAGAGCTGTTGAGCTGAAGGCCACTTTTTGTGAGGGTGTTTTAGT